AAGTTTGCAGGATGTCCCGTCGTGGTATGTGATTCGAGTCCGGAATATCAGCTGAAAGATTATGGTTGAACGATGGTAAGGATATTCCTGGGGACGTACTCAGTGTTCAAAGGTGCGTGAAAACGAGCAGGGGCTTTGACCAAAACACAACCTGCATTCAGCAAAAGGAGATTAGCAGGAAGGAAAAATATGAGAATGAAAATCGGAATCGGAAACGCAGATGTGCAGAAGTGCAGAAGTGCACATGCATACCTTGAGTGAATGCCAAGCTTTTTAGTTCCCGGGTGCGAACACCTCTAGGATCCTCCTCTCTTCTCGAATCTCATTCTGCCTCTGAGACTTAATGATTTCAGCACGCCGTCCATTCGATCGCACTCTTCCGCGTTTTTGATCCTGCGTTCATCGCAATTCGCGATTCGGGCGCACAGATGAAGAGACGCCCAAGCGCGATTCCCCTCCGGCACTCCAGCCGAGACCGAGGATTCCGCCGCTCCCTCCCGCCGTCCTGCCCTCGAACGCTGTGCCGAACGAGCCGAACGAGAACCGCTGCGTAGAGCATGCGTAGCCGCTCGCCCTTTATGTAGCGCTAATTACCACTCCCGCGCTCATCACGAATCCCGACTCAAAGGCACAGAGAACTCAGAAGAAAAAACCCGCGCACCCACCCTCGAAGGAGAACGAGGGACGCGGGACCCGACAGACTCTCGCGTCAGCGCCCCTCGGAGCAAAAAAGACGACGAAGGACCGGGGGGATGGACAATGAAACTATGACGAAGGGATGAGGAGGAGGAGGACGGCAACGTACACGACGACGGCGGGTAGGCGGGGAGGTCCAGGAACGGCGAAGGAGAGGATGGCCCAGAACAGAAGAGTGGGGATGGCGCGGAGAGCGGGAGGACGGCGCGGAGAGCGGAGAGGGCGGACTCGGGGTGTGCGGACTGGAGATGTGCGGCCCAGGACTCGGATATGCGAATGCGGACTGGGCAGGGTGCGTGCGGGAAAGGAGAGTACTGCAAGGGCGCTTGGTGTGGACTTCGGCGTACGCTGGAGGAGAAGGCGGGCGGAGTCAGGCGGAGAAGAAGCACGGCGACGGCGAGCATTATGAGCACGTAACGCAGCCCCGGAACTCGGGGGCGCGTGGAAGGTGGATTCGGGACGTGCGGAACTTGCACAACTCGTGTCTTGAGCTGGTGAGGCCGATTGGTCCGACTCGGGAACTCGAGGAGGGAGACGCTGGCGGGGAGGGCTGGTAACGCGAAGAGTGGAGATGTGGCTTGCTGAGAGGCGAGGTTCGGGCGTACGTCCAGGGTGATTTGGGCGTGCGTAGAACGAGAAATAGCGGAGTGGGCGGCGGGTGCGGATTCGGCGCCGCAGTGCGCGTACAGGCGCCCTCTCCAGCGCGATACAAGCCGCGAATAGCCCGCAGATAGGAACGAAGGGCGTACGGCGCAGGAAGAGCGACATATGGTCGGCACGGATTAGTACTAAGACTAATAGTAGTGCAGATGGAGGAGCGCCAGGAACGCAGTCATCACCCCAGCGTGAAATGAGCTCGTCGGACGGAGGGAGGCTGAGGTCGTCCGTGCTGAGGCCGTCGGGGACAGTACTCAGTGCAAGTGCAAGTGCGCGGGGCGCGCCGAGGGCGGGCATCCTGACATCTGGCATCCGGGCACGCCTCTGCGCGCAGGTTGCTCGTGTGCATTAACCTAGGGATTCTGGGTGCGGGTAGCCAAAGACCGTTTCAGTCGAGGAGCAATCAGGGATTCGAAGGTTTGAAACTGGTAGTACCGCGCGAATGAAAAAGCCGACGAACCAGCGGCGGGACCAGGTCAGCGTCTGCATTACGAGTTCAGAAGCGCTGGCTGATGGAGTGCAAACGTTGCCATTTCGCAAGCAGGGCTGGGTGAGACGCAAGCTGGCGAGGTTGCTGGGACGTTGCGGCGGAGAGTTGGAAGCAAAGAAGCCAGCCGCCACGTGTAAGTACAGAACCACCACGTGACCGACGCGTCTCTCCCTCTGCCCGCAAAAGTTCTAAGGCTCCAACCATTTCGTTTCCGTTCGCCAATCTGGGAAAAACCAAACGGAAACGATAAAGAAACCGTTTCAAACGGTTAGAAACGGTTTGCGAATGGTATTTTTCTTATATGTTAGATTAGCGCCTCAATTATGACTTACAAGTCACAATACCACAAATTTATTCCATCTCCTTCAAGATGTGCTCCGGGTCGAGTTCTACACCATCCAAATCTACATCAGAAGAGCTCCATGAAATTTGGCTGCCTGTATTTGACGATCATTGATATTCCCGCTTGCTGCGCCGAACAATTAAAAATGAACGAGAACCCTGGCCAGTACGAGGGACGGGTCAACAGCAGCGCACGGGGCCATGACGTTTGTTGGCAGGAACTTATGCGTCCCATTACAGCTGTTTCCGAAAACCTTGAGACAACGTGAAATTTTTTGCACGCAACAAACTTTGATGGCAAGCTAAGGATTACCGGATTTGGCACGGATGATCCCACACGGATCAGCCCACATTTCGTGATGGACCAAGCGAAGTCCAATTTTCGTGTCAATAATATGTTCCCGGGGCATCTGAGTTGCATGTGAGACTCATAAGACTCCGAGAAAGCATCAGCTGGGTGTCATGAGGGGAGGAGCTCACCCATGAAATAATATCTGGGCGGCAACCCGATTACACACAAGCGACGGCAATCTCGGCTGGACATCCCAAACCGGTAATCCTTAGCCTGCCATCAAAGTTTTGTGCGCGCAAAAAACTTCATGTTGTCTCAAGCTTTTCGGAAACAGCTGTAAAGGTCACATTTTATCCTGCTGGATTGTCGAGATGATGCCATAGGGCAATGGGGAGCGGCAAGCAGGCAGCGAGACACGGCGGTAACTTGATTACTGATCCGAGGTGGCCGAGAGCGTCGGAAAATGCTGAGTTATGTTGGGTTTATGTGGCTGGAAGTTTCGAAAGTTTGGGCTGGAGGAAACCGTTTCTAAACTGTTCTTGAAACAGTTTGTCTATCCTGGCAAACGAAACGGAAATAAAAACGGTTTTTACCGTTCGAAACCGTTTGCGAACGGAAATGGTTGGAGCCTTAGAAAGATCCAAATTGAAACAAGAATTTATGTCTTCCGCTGTCTCACTGGAGCATACCTAGACTTTTCTGAAAACGGTCAGGGAAAGGAGTCTGAGCAGTATGGGGATATTTTCAAGGAATACAAAGACCAATACAACTGCGTGAGTTTGCAATGCCGGTTTGATTCCAGTGTAATGATGCACATTGGGTGCCATCAATTTGCATAGTGAACAGGAAGCTGGGGGTGTATGTAGTCTGGACGGGTGTTTGGATGGAGGACACACAACTTGGTTTTGTGGAAGCTGTGCTTGTGCCGGATTCAACAAGGGTGAGTGCAGTTTCATTCCCCTTTCCCTCCTCGCTTCTAAAATATGGGCGACACGTGAGCTCGCGATGTGTGCCAATGTGAAGCCTCAATATGTACATAGACTTGTACCAATTATCAGTCTGCCTTTACCTTCAAAAAAAAACACTGCATGGTATCCATTTACAGAACATAAGGCGCGGATCTTTTTTTTTCTAAAAAAAGCACTTTTCACTAATGCCCCTCCAACTCACTCAATTCTTCCCCAAATGTCTTCAAACCTAGACCAAACAATGGGAAATGACTTTCTGCAGTGCTTAGGGTATGTGTAATATTTATTTTACCTGACCGACATGTCCAAATGGGGCAACAGACAGTTTTCAGCTGTTGCCCCTCTATCTGTGAAGATAATGCCCAAGATCTCTTGAAAATCTATGAATGCCTTCTAAATGAGATATTACATTGCTTACGGTGCATTTTACTGCTATATTTTGAGGTATAGGGTATGAAATATCACTCAAATTTAACATATATTTGAAATCCTCATAGATCACCATAGTAAAACAGATCTGCAGATTTTCTACCATCCTAAGCAATGTGTTATATATCCATAAGTCGTCCCAAGGCGCAATTTCCGGAAACTGAAGGATAATGCTTATGATACAGGGGCAATAGCTGAAAATTGTCTGTTACCCCATTTGGGCATGTCGGTTGGCTAACAGAAATATACCACATACCCTAAGCACTGCAGAAAGTCATTTCCCATTGTTTGGTCTAGGTCTGAAGACATTTGGGGAAGAATTGAGTGAGTTGGAGGGGCATTAGTGAAAAGTGCTTTTTTTTAGAAAAAAAATGATCCGCGCCTTATGTTCTGCAAATAGCTGTAAGAATTCAACCAAAATTTAACAAAGAATGTGATCTGTGTGTACATACTGTGGTAGGAATATGAAACCACAGTCCAAATAAAATCAGACCAATACCAGTGTGTCTCACCAACAACCTCGACATGCACCTCCCGTACAACTCGAGCACGCTCTCCACACTCTTAAGACTCCACACCAATCATTTCTCACTGATTTCTCACGAATTTCAGAAGTGACATCGGCCGAATACACCCGATCTTTGTGCAACGCCGTGCCAACGCCATGGCAAGTGTCGGTCACACGCCATGAACCCGCGGCCGTGGGACTTGCCCACAGTGTGAATCCTTCTGTTAGATTTCGGTGTGCGTACGTAAGTCAGCTGTTAGGCTGATAGCGAAGAGAAAGCAACAAGAAGGGGATGCGGTTGATTGAGGCTTGGGGGATGCCTAGCAAACGCATGCCCCTCGCCGCTACAATTCGGGGTATTTATACTACTACAAAGATGTTCTAGAATATTCTACTAAGTACTAAAATTCAACCAAGGTAAACACGGAGAAATCTAGATGATTCTCCAGCTGGCTAGTTGGAGCACACAGCTTCCACACAGATCCTCAACACCTTCTCTTTCGTATCCTGCATACAAGTGCAAGCAATCCTCGTCCCTCATTTACGGTTACTCAGCATATTTGATTACCCCGCAACCATTCCAATATGCAAGAAAAAAGATCGCAGGTAGAACTCCAACTCGGGTGCGGGGAGTCGAACCCCGTCTTTCTGCCAACATGACGTGGATTTCTTCTAAGTGTTTGCAGAGGTGCACCATACACCACACCCGATTATTTGCCTCGTCGTTCCACTGGATTTGAACCCCTCTTTGGAATACGGATTCACTAAGTTGGGTTACCTATCACTTACTCCGAGTGAGAATACCGCACCTCAAGGGAGTTCAAATAATCGCCACCTTCCTTTTCTTTCGTATCCATCCCAGGAAGACAAGCAGTACAATATCCGGTCGCACATGTACATTTATCCTACATATTTGGTTCGACTGCAACCATGCAGGAAGAAAAATGAATTCTGCCAACATATCTCTCATTGTCCGACGCCTCAGTTTTTACGGCAGTGCACCACACCCGATTACCTCCCTCCTTATTCCATTGGATCTAACCCCCTCTTTCTACCACTCAGTCACTAGGTTGAGTTGCATATCGTCTACTCCTCAGAACACTGGCGCCATCTCAAGACCTTCCAAATAATACCCTCCCACCGTGAATCCTTCTCTTTCGTATCTTGCCTACGAATGCAAGCAGTACTCGCCCCTCAATTATGGTCACTCAACATATTTGGTTAGACCGCAACCATTCCCAGCAGTGCAAGAAAAAATATCGCAAATGGAATTCTATCTCGGGTGCGGGGAGTCGAACCCCCGTCTTCCTGCCAACATGACTTCCGCATTCATTCTTTTAAGAGTTTGCAGACGTGCACCATACACCACACCCGATTATTTGCCTCGTAATTCCACTGGATTTGAACCCCTCTTTGGATCACTGATTCACTAAGTTGGGTTACATATCATCTCCTCCAAGTTAGAACATCTCAAAGGATTTCAAATAATCTCCTGCCACCTTTCTTCTCTTTCGTATCCATCCCATGAAAACACGCAGTACAAGTATATCCCGCCCCACATGTACATTTATCCCACATATAATAGTTGGTTCGACTGCAACCATGCAAGAAGAAAAATGAAAAGACGAAATTCTATTCGGGTGCGGGGAGTCGAACCCCATCTTTCTGCCAACATATTTCCCATTGTCCGACGCAGTGTTTACAGCAGTGCACCATGCAGCACACCCGATTCATTCCACTGAATTTGGCCCCTCTTTCCTGCTACAACTGAGTGACGAGTCACTATGTTGTGTTGCATTCGCTCAGAATACTTTCAAATAATACCCTCCCACCGTGAATCCTTCTCTTTCGTATTCTACCTATGAATGCAAGTACTCGTCCCTCATATACAGTTACTCAATATATTTGGTTAGACCGGAACCATTCCAATCAGTGCAAGAAAAAACATCGCATGTCGAACTTCAACTCGGGTACGGGGAGTCGAACCCCGTCTTTCTGCTAACATAATCCCGATTTCTCTGCCACAGTGTTTGCAGAGATGCACCATACACCACACCCGATTATTTGCCTCGTAATTCCACTAGATTTGAACCCCTCTTTGGATCACTGATTCACCAAGTTGGGTTACATATCATCTACTCAGAGTCAGAATACCTCTAGTCTCTTATAAACAGACGCTACAACAAAAGTTACTCGTACCTTGTGTGTTGTAGAATACCGCACTTGAAGGGAATTCAAATGCTCTCCCCCCTTCCAAAATCTTTTTTGCATCCGACCCGGGAATGCAACCAATAGCAGTCTATCCCACTCATTTACAGTTATTGTCTAAGCAATTCTAGTCGCAGGTTGAAGTCTAATTTGGGTGGGGGAATCGAACCCCGCTTCCCTCCCGCTGCCTTTCGATTGAACTTCCATAGCACTTCCAACTCGCTTCCCGTTCTCGACTACTACAAGCTTGACTTATATTAAATCAAACCAACCTCTAGTACACATCCACTCCCCTGCATTTTCTTTCTTGGTGGAACCCGACCTCAACTCCAAATCCACAGAATGCATATCCCGATGCGCCCGCCGAGTCGACGCAGCGGGTTCGCGGCGTCAACTCCGGTCCCGCAGGAGTCCGACCCAGCGACAAAGTCGGCTGGTTTTATGTAACGATCAGTAATTATAAAGAGTGCAACTGAATTTAATTCCGCAATTTATGCATATCTTCTCCGGGCCCTCAAAACCTCCTCCGATACATACACTGCACCTCTCGCAGCTGATCCGAAATCGCAACTAAGGTAAGCAGACGCGACTCACCTGCCCCGTTCGGCGCGTGTGAAGTGAGTCTCACTCAAGTCACTGTCAGGGTTAATCGCCGGTGTGCGAAATAACTCGAACCTTCTCTCTTTCCATCCAATCAACAGAATGTTACTTGGAAATAATGAAAAATAACTCCCCTCATCTGGGAGGAACGTAGTGGCCTACTCGCATACTTCAAGTCCAAGCTTCCGCCATCGTCCCGTAGCCCCTATACACGCCTCCAATCATGTAAATTGGCATGCCAAGATTACTGGAAAAGGAAGGGGTAGCGGGAGACAACAATTAACATGCTGCGCCGTTAAGTAAATTCGGACTCCCGACGCGTTCCAGCGAATATACTAGGCGTGCGCAGGATCTTTGTTTTCTGAATAGCCCTAGACGCTCTCGATTCCTCCAAGTGCCTTGGATAATCCCGAAAAAAAAAATCATAGCAATCGGAAGCAGTTACCACTTGTCTCACAATTTTCCGGGGAGCAACGTCTTGTTCAATTCATCAAAATATCGTGGTTTAGGCCATTTTTGCTCAGAAAACTGAAAGGGAAACGGGCCAAAAAAAAGCCGAAAAAACTCAGGCAGGAGATCTCCCGCCACTCAAATCAATGATCTGAACTCTCCATAACGGCAACAATGTCAAAGAAACGGCGAACAAAGCGAATTTTCGTGATTATCTTGCCTATCTTATCATCCACGTGGGGGGTTGCCAAAGATAAAAGTTCTATTTGGCAATCCCGGTACTCCTGGTACGCGGCTTGCTAAATATAATTATCCTCTTTGAAGCTCTTTTTTGATTTACCTTGTTTAAACCGGAGTGGCGCCTCCGCCGATGATGACCACTGACCCGAGGATCTCGCGGGTGACCGTGTGGAACAGGGGTAACACGGCCTATACTCATTGGATGTTAAATTAGTGAAACACGAAGAACCTGATGAACATCAATCCAAGTCACTATGCCCAACTTGAGTCCAAGTTGCCGACATCCGGATTCATTTTGTAAATGCATAAAAAAACATTGTTCTCCGAAAGAACCCATTTAAAGGAGTTGTTCCGGACTTTGGTTGGAGGTGCCGCCAAACACCCAATGTGAACGGATCATACATGCGGGCCAAAGATTCATATAGACATACCTGTGGGAAGAAAGATTTATATAGGCAGATATGTGGGAACAAAGATTCACATAGCCATAAACAGAGGTACTCGTGTGCCTGTATTCATCTGATTTAGAACATCAGTTCGTGTCACTGCTTCTGCCACGCAAATATAAAACTTGCAGCTTGAGTTTTTGGCCATCACTCCTAAAATGCTCCATTCCCACCAAGCCGCGGCGACTGAAACCCGCATGAACAACATTGCAGCTTATTTGGAATCAACTGTCGTACTGCTCAACACACTCACGGATGGTGTCGGCACACCTTTTGTGCCTACTATATCGAAGACCACACAATCTGTGATCAATGCCCTGCAGGTTAGTAAACCCATGCACTTCATGCACATGTTCTGATCAACAAGGACAGAATGTGAAAAAGAATAAGGAGGAATGCATTAAGCTCATGGAAAATGTGCATGAAGTCCTCTGTGCTATTGTCAATCTCCACATCAAATCGGAAACACCGGGGAGTCTATCCTTTGCAGCCTTGGATCATGTTGGAAAATTCACTGAGTAGGTCCCATTGCTGTGTATGGAGGATTCCAAATAACGAAACCAATTTGGTCAGAACTCTTTACAAGATCCATACTTTTGTTGAGGCACAAAAAGATGGAAGCAAAATCAAGTACTTCTTTCGACAAACTGAGATGGCATCCCTTCTTAAACACTGTCACAATGGATTACAAGAAGCTTTCCAGAAGTTCCAGGTGTGTTGTGTCATATCCACCATGTTCTTTATAATAGATATTATCAAGATTGAGACCAGTGCCACCCTCTTTGGCAACATTACGGAGATGCAGAAGAAAACAGAACAGATGCATGGGGAACTGCTGGAATTAATTTCAACACTTTCAGATGGTACTTTCTCGGACAGGTCATCATCTTCTGTAAGTTCAGCTTGGTTTATCCATAAGATCCTACCTGAGTGATCAATTAGATTCACGGCTGGGCTGATGATTTCAAGAACAGGTGAAAACCCATACATTATGAGCTTTGACTATGTTAATAACTTTATCAGCTCAAACTCATTTGCCATGCTTCCAGGGAGACCAAAGATATTCCATGGTCGTGACTTAGAGGTCAAGGAGATTGTAGAGACTCTTGACCAGGAATCAGCAAGGATAGCAATTCTAGGTCCTGGTGGAATGGGCAAAACAAGTCTTGCCAAGGCTGTGCTCCACCACCCTGATATTGTTACCAAATATCAACATCGTCTCTTCATAGCCTCTGATTCTGCTACGACCAGCATTGAACTTGCGGCTTTGATTGGATCACATGTAGGACTGAAGCCAGGGAAGGACCTCACACAACGTCTTGTCCATTACTTCGCGACCAGCAAAAGTTGCCTGTTGATTTTAGATAATCTTGAAACTGTGTGGGATCCAATTGATTCTCGCACCAAGGTTGAGGAGTTCCTAGCAGTTCTTGCTGACATTGCCCATCTTGATCTCATTGTATGTATAATTAAACTCATGCAATTTCAGTTCATTGATTATTTTACAGATCACTATGCGAGGTGCTGAACGGCCTGCAAAAGTCCGCTGGACTCGACCATTTGTACAGCCCTTGAAACCCCTCTCAGATGAAGCTGCTTGGAAAACCTTTGTTGATATTGCAGAGGATTGCCATGACAAAAAGGATATCACCAAGCTTCTATCCCTCACAGATAATGTGCCACTTGTTGTGAATCTGATGGCTCATCTGGTGGAGTCAGAGGGCTGTCCAAATGTGTTGGCTCGGTGGACAGCCGAAAAGACATTA